CCGCCCTCCCCCCGGCGCGGCCCGGGCGGGCGCCCGGCGGGCCGCGCTCGCAGCAGTAGCTGCTCCGAGTCGTATTTCCACATTCCTGAACCCAGCCGAGTCCTTACCTGTTGAGCTGCGATCTCCTTTAGACAGAATCTGTCTCGGCCTCGCTCGAAGTGGGGGTGGAGGGGGCGGTGTGACCATGAGGGGGTGCGGTGCACCTGGTCCGGGGCGCCCACGGCCCCCCGTCCGGCCGCGCCCTGCGCGCCTACTGTGTGCCGCTAGCGGCTGGAGGCAGGCGGCTCCCGGCCGCGGGCAAAGCCGGCGAACAGCCGGGCGGGAGGGCCCGGCCGGGTGCCGCCAGTGGAGACGCGGCTTCCCAGGCGGAGAGGGAGAAGGTTCGTTTGAGAATCATTTCATCCATCGTCCCCACCGCCGTTTACAGATGGAGAAACTGAGGCCAGCGGCTGCAGCGGCGGGGCCGGAAGCCCCCTGTCTCAGCCTCAGTTCTGCAGGCCTGGCAGCCTGGCGTGTCCGCTGGTGGCTCTGTTTATTATAGGTCTGTGTGTAGGCTGTGTCCCTGGGTGTTTGTTTATGGGAGGTGAGGGTGCGTGCACTGAGTCTGCTGGCAGCGTGGTTGGCCGGTGGGGAGGGAGGCCTTGTTTTCTGGACTCTCCCACAGCTCCTGAGCTTACTCCTCCTGTGTTCCCCAAAGTAATGGGCACCCCCTAACGAGGCTTTCTCTGCTACCTAGTTCCCAGTACTGAGGCTGCACTTCCCCCTGACCACTCTGGAATTAAATGTCCTCATTTCTCCTGTTTTAAGGATTAGGATACCCAGCAAGGGACACCAGGAGTAAATAAATGGCAGAGTCGAGACTGGAGTTGGCTGTGGTCTCCACCACTGACCACTCCTTCTAGCACTAGCTCCTTAACAGGAGTCATCTGAAAGTGACGCCCCCCCCCCGCCCCCCAGCTTGCAGGAAGAGCTCTACGAGGCACCCCCGACTCCCCACCCTGCACAAAGAGCTGAAGTTGTTGCCCAGCCCAGACTTCCAGGGCTGGTTCCAGGGCTTGGAGGTCTGAGTGACTGGGGACAGTAACTTCCTCCCACCACGAGGGTCCCTACCCGCACTCCCCGCTTTAAGCGAGACTGCTGCTCTGGCCATCCTGAGCAGGATGGTGGTGGCCAGTGTCTGAGTAGGGAGAGCCCAGGCAGTGGGACCCAGCCTGTGTGCCCGGGCACCTGGGAATTCCTGAGAGAGCTGGGTGGTGTTCCTGGCACTGCCGTCTGCCCCCACCAAGGGGCCCTGGGAGGGGGGCTCCTCTCCCTGGTGTGCCCCCTTAAGCACATGCTCTCTCGGTCCTGGGGAGAGAGGAGAAAATGAGATCTCCACAATACCCCCGTGGAACCACATCCAGAACACCCACAGAGCCACCGTGGGATCTGCTAAGGCGAGGGTGCTCAGTCCCTGACACCAGCACAGTCCGTGCCCGCCCATGTGGGAGCGAAGGGTCCTCCTTTCTTTGCAATCCATCTTGGCCGTACAAGGCAGGGAGGAGGGGGCAGCTGCGCCCAGATGTGACTTAAGGGGTTAAATGACCTCGGAGCCCGGTGAGGTTGAGGATGAGGTTCAGGTGGTCAGTCCTCCCCCCTCGCTCACCTAGTGGTCTTGGGTGAGCTCTTTAACCTCCCAGCCCACTTTTCTTCTTGGGGAAAACAGGGGAATGGTAGCGCCTCCTTCACTGTGAAGGTTAGTCCCGGGGTCTTTGGCCCCGGGGTTGGGCGGTGTCCCAGTAAACACTGTGTGCACCAGTCAAGCCTTTCTTATTGTTGATAACAACGGTATCGCAGCTGCTGCAGGCACTCTGGGGACGCCTCCAGATAGTATATTCTGGAGGATTTGGGATTTCAGGGCCAACAAAGCCCCAACCAAATGTCAGAGGCTGTGTGTGTTGGGAGATATTTCACGATCACAGCCCACCAGCCCACACTGTGCACAGGCAGCCCCCCACACATGTGCCCCTCAGCCCGTGCAGATGTGCAGCCCCTGGGGGGTGAGAACTCCGTCCTCACAATCCCTATGGGGATTGGGGGCCCAAGACCAGATGTGTCTTGGATTTTGAGCAATTTTAAAACAAATGACTTTGGAGAGTCACAGTTCCTCACTTGAGGACTGATCAGCCTCCGAGCTCCAGCCTTGGAGGAGGCCAACCCAGGATGGGGGGAGCCGTCAGGAGTCTGGGCACATTCTGCCCCCTGGAACCAGGGTCATGAAGTGCCGGAACCAACCCTGCTCCATGCCTCCCTCCTGCCTTTGGAGCCAGGAGAGGCAGAGGGGCCTGGGAGCCCTGGATCCTGAGGAACGAAGGGGCAGAGACAGCCCGTCCTCGTGGATGCTCCAGGCCAGGTCAGAAGCTAGGAAATCCACTCCCCCTGGGACCACTGACCGTATTGCAAGAGCTCTGTTCTCTTGTCATCTTCCCTGCTTTGTGCCTTTGCCCCAGCGTAAGGGGTCTATGCTGCATCTAGAGGGACATTCGTGTGTAGCCAGGCTTGGCAGACAATAGGAAGTGGAACTCAAAACCTGTGTTTCTGGCCTTTAAAAAAAATCACTGGAAGAGGATTGTTCAGAAAAGTGTGTCCTTGTGGATCTGCTCCTCCCCACACCTACCCCAACCAACCAACCCCCCGAAGGAGAGCAAAGGAAGCCAGGTGGGGAAGCCAGAGTTGGCAGCTCTGTGCACCTGTTGGGGGTGCATTCCCACCGTCAGCCTCTCCAGGGACTCAGAGGCAGGACCCTGCAGAGATACCGGTGAGCATGTGCACAGGTGAGCCTTGCCAGGTCGGGCCGGGTCGGCGATGGCAGTGAGTGCATGCGACCCACAGCCAGCTTCGCCAAACCCAGGGGCGCACGCAGGCAGAGGCGCAGCACACACAGTGCATCTGTGCGCACACACCTGCGCCCTCACAGACGCGCCCACGCTCCCGCAGGCACACACAGGCACATGCAGGCACATGCATGCACACGAGATCACATTGCGGAGCACAGCCCCCCAGAGGAGCGCACGCCCCCGCATGGTTATCCCGCGGTGTTCCCCCAAGGTGCAACCTCCAGAGCAGGCCAGAGCTGTGTGGCTTACTGGAGTTGCGGGAAGGGGTCCGAGCCAAGGCAGTTTGGGCAAGGCCTGGGGGCGGCTCCCGCCGCGCGCTCGGGTCAGCCTCCCCTTTAAAAAACCCGCCCGCGGAGGAGGCGGATGTAAGGGCGGCCCGGCCAATGGCAGCTGCGCGCCTCGGGAGACTTGCAGACGTGAGCCAGAGCGAGTGACAGAGCCGGTTCCGACGGATCGACGGACGGAGGGCCAGACGGCTGCCGAGGCTCACTCGCTGCCACCTACCAGCCCCCGGCCCCGCACTCCAGCCCCAGCGCGATGCGCGGCCCCGGCGGCGGGGCACTGGCGAATACTGCGCCGGGACCCGCGCGCCCGGGTCCCTAGCGTCCCGTGCCGCCGCCCTACCTCGGGGAGGGCCGCGGAAACCCGGGCCTCAGCTGGCTCAGGCGCCCTGCCCGCGCGCGGGGCCTGGCCAGCCCTGCCAGGAGTGCCGGCCCACCATGCTCCTGCTGTCGCCGCGCGGCGCGCTCCTCTCCGTCTATTGCCCGCAGATCTTTCTCATCTTGTCCAGCGGCAGCTACCTGTGAGTTCCGCGAACAGCACGTGGGGTGGTGGGCGGTAGGGTCCCTCCCCAGCCTTCCGCTGGAGCCGGGCGGGCAGGGAACGCGGCAGTGAGGTCTCTGGGCGGGGCGCCGGGTGTCCGGCGCGCGCGGGAGCCGGGGGACTTTGGGTCGCCTCGCCGGCCTAAGCCGCTAAGGTGGAGGACCTGGAGGACGCCTCCGCAGTGAGAAGTTCCGGCTTCGGGGGTCAGAGAAAAGGTAGCTCGCGGGAGGCCTGACTGCCCCACAAAGACCAGGCTGCGCGCACCGAGCGCGATGGCCGGAGGGCGCGCGGGCGGCGCCGAGATTCCTTGCGCGTCCCAGCCGAGTCCTGGATCAGCGGGATCCCCTCATTTATATAAATCCACGCGGCCCGCATGGCTGTGCCACATTTGAGAGAGCCGCACGCACGTATCAGCTCCCCCGAATACACATTGGTACACACGTGCACGCTGCGCCCCACCGGACAGCGCCCAAGCTGTCCGGCGAGGTCGCTGCGGCTTCTCGTGCCTTCCTGCCGCGCTGGGCCGCCTGGCCCTTGCCCTGGCCGAATCCTCACCTGGGGGGCGAGGGGGCGCCGGCGGAGGTGCGTCCGGGCCTTGGGGCCAAGGCAGCAGAGCCGAGGGGGCGCGTCAGCGCAGCGGTGGCTTCGCCGGATTCCTAATGGGACGCATATGCTCTGGCCTCCGATTTAAAAAGAAGTTTGATTTATGGAACCGCCGTTTGGGGGAATTTAAGCTGGATGCTACTGATTAAACCTCAGAGCCAGCTCTCCCTCCCCTTCTCTCCTCCCCTCCCCCTCCCCCTCTTTTACACGCGGGCCACGTCCGGGGTCGCCTAACGCGGCCAGAGGGGGCAGCCGCTGCCTTCCCG